TCCCCACTCTCCCTTCATAGGAGGAGCTTCAGGAGAGGCCCTCCCCCTCACCTAGCCTCCTCTAAGGCTCAGAGCTATAGGACATAGAGGAGAAAAATATTTGCCCTCAAACATCCACAGAAATGCCTTAGGATCTCCATGTGAAGCTGTTGCCTAAATAAGACTGGTTCTTAGCAGCCTTGGAAACAGAATTGAATAGATCACCTTTGTGAAAAAGGATACTGAAGCTCTTCCTGTACTGCAAAGAACCACTAAGTGGAAAAAGGCAGGGTTCCAAATAGCATATATCATCTGCTACCATTTGTGTAAAAGGGAAAGATAATCATAATGGATTTGCTAATAGATGTTATAAAATATCTTGGCTGTGCCCGGAACACCTCTGGAGGATGAAAAAATCAGTAACAGTGGTGCCTCTAAGGAATAAAACAAGGTGGCAGCATCAGGGATGGACAGAGATGTAATTCCTACCTCATTTTTGTGCCTTTCGAATGTTTTCTTTCATCATGTAGATTCGTTACCTACTAAATTTTTTTTTGCATTAAAAACACTGAAAAATTTAAAATAATAATAATAATAAAAAAAATCAGAATAGTCTTTCCGGAGCAAAACCAAACACCCTTGCTAATCTGGACAGCTGTCTTCCCGGCACACACCAGATGCTCAGTTTGTTGAACTTAATGAACCTCCGCTTAAAAGAAAACAAAAGAAAATCAGAAACCAGGCAAACCCAAGGGTATCAGTTCTAATTCTCTAATAAGCTCTTTACCTGGCTGTTACTTAACTACCGCAAAAGACCAGACAACAGGTCCTTGGGTCACATGCCCTGCACCCAGTTGGGTCCAGTGCACCAGCCTCACGGGTAACAATAGGTCTGGTGGCCTGTCCACACCAGCCTTTTTATAAATAGAAAACATATAATCCAAAAAAGAAAACAAAAGAAAATCAGAAACCAGGCAAACCCAAGGGTATCAGTTCTAATTCTCTAATAAGCTCTTTACCTGGCTGTTACTTAACTACCACAAAAGACCAAACAACAGGTCCTCGGGTCACATGCCCTGCACCCAGTTGGGTCCAGTGCACCAGCCTCACGGGTAACAATAGGTCTGGTGGCCTGTCCACACCAGCCCTTTTATAAATAGAAAACATATAATCCAAAAACATGATGCCTTGGAATCAAGACCACAAAAACAAACATGCAGACAGGAAAATGATCCTGAAGGGAGATGTCAGCACCTACAAGGTATCAGTACAGAAATAGCAGCTTGTGGGTTAAAATACGTCAAGCACCATCCAAAAAGGTTAGAACATGCAGAGCTGCTATGAAATCCTCATGCCAGAGCACATGAAGAGGTGGCCTGAACTCCCTGTGCCCTATTCCTAGGGACAGTATAGCCCAAGATGATACAGGAAGGCTGAAACACCCCTTGCCCCAGTCATCTATACTCTTAAAATTGGTCAAAAAGTACTCAAAACCCACACTCCAAAAAAAAAAAAAAAAAATTAGACTGTTGTAAGCAGTAGGTTGTAGCAGAAATTCTGCCACACGAATTCCATTGTATTAGAAGGCTCTCTCTCCTAGGGCTTTTCAAAGAGCCAGGTTACAGGCAAAGAATAAGATAGACTTCACCACGGTCTTCCCTAGGACTAAAGATATTATTTTGAGGTGTGGACAGGAGCTTGGGACAAGGGTGGTGGGGAACACTATACTCTCCATGGTCCCTGCCAGAGATTCCCAGGAAAAAAGTGGAAAGGGAAGAAGGGAATGGCAACCCTCTCCAGTATTCTTGCCTGGAGAATCCATGGGCAGAGGATACTGGCGGGCTACAGCCCATAGGGTCGCAGAGTTGGATATGACCCAGAAACTCAGACACACACACACACACACACACACACACACACACACAAGAAACAACAGCAAATGAGAAGCCCTTTCACCCAGATGTTACGAGAAAAGAAAGCAAGAGAGAAAAGGGCCCATATTCATACACAAAGAAACTACAACAATTATTCTAAGATGGCTGAGGTCTAGAATGTCCTAAACAAAATAACACAAACAAAAACCCAAACTCAGAATCAACTGTTAGGAAGGTGTGAATCAATGAACAGTGATCATCTTTGGTTCATTCTAGAAAACATGTAAAAACACAGAAGGGAAAAACCAAAAGTGACCAGATTCCTGCAAGAAATAAAGATGACAGGTTATCTTCTGATGAAAAGGGAACTGGCTGGCAGATTGAGAGTAGATATTTATCAGACCCGTGAAGGTGACAAAGGAAGTGAAGGTGAAAGCAGAAAAGAAAGAAAGGGAATTTCCCCAACTAAAACAAGATGTAAAGAACCATTCCACTGCACGTGCCATATGGTTTATTTCAAGCTCAGGAAAAGAACAGGAAAAACGCAGTGAAATTGGTGAAAGAGCTAGATTACCAGCAAGAATCAGTCATACACTTGTGCTTCTGCCAGGGAAGGCAGGCGCTGCTGGTGCTTTCCCTGCTCCCATGACTAAGTAACTTACTTAAATGCATTTGACACATGATCCCTGAACTTCCAAAAAGCACTTAATACAGTGCTCATGAAATCTTAATCTAAAAATGTTCACCCATTTATAATCACGCTGCATCACACTGACAACTGGGACGAAGGGCCGAGCAGAGGGGAGAGATATTTGGAAGAATGCCGTGGAGACTGATATCATCAGGGACTTTATCACTTTGGGGGGTTTTTCTCCCTATTTTAAAGAGAACGAGATTTGGAGTCTAAAAAAGAGTATAATTACAAGGAGAGGACTAACGAGACAATGAATTACCTGATTCAATAAAAGACAGAAAAATAAGCAATAAATAAGAAAATGCGATGTGACTTGGAAAACCCCACAGACATCTGTGCTACAATGAAATCTGGAATATGTTTAATGAACTGGGGGAGTGGAGGCAGGGGAAAAAATCAGTTCCTGATAGAAAATACTGGCGGGTAAGTACAAAGAAAATAAGGATTAAAAAGGCAACAGAAGACTATATTTAGCAAATCCATAATGCTTATTGTGTGCCGGGCACTGCTCTAACTGCTTCTGATATCAAAACCTCAAAACAACCTCTAATCTAAGTACCATTATTTTCCTTGTTTCCAAGGTGAACAAGCAGAGGCACGGGCTTCCCTGGTGGATCACCTGCCAATGCAGGGGATGTGAGTTCGATCCCTAGGTTGAGAAAATCTCCTGGAGAAGGAAATGGCAACAACCCACTCCAGCATTCTTGCCTGGAAAATTCCGTGGACAGAGGAGCCTGGCATGCTACCGTTCGTGGGGTCACAAAGAGTCAAGTGAACAACAACAGAGGCACAGAGAGGTTAAGTGACTTGCCCAAGGTGATAGCCAGTAAAAAGCAAGGCTAGGGTTCAAATCCAGGCACCCTGGCCTCAAAATCTGTGCCCTTAACATCTCTGCACCCCACCCCTACAATTTCAACTCAGAAGAGTGAGAAAAGTAGCTAGGAGTGAAATACAAGTCATGCACTTGCTAGCAACAGATCAACCTTTAGTCATGGTTCTGTGATGACCAGTCAGTCTTCTGACCTCTCCAGGCTTTCATTCCTTCACCTGTGCATTGGAAAGGCTGATTAGATGAGCTCTACCTAAGGTGTCTTCAGCTCTACAATTCCACAAAACCATGCTGACAATCAGCAGTGTACAGACTGGTCTGCTTTCTGACTGGTTATTCAAAGGTGAATTCACCCTAAAACAGGCAGCACACTTGCTATTAAGGTTCCTTCTCTGTCTCCTGACTTTCAGAAGATTATGATGTCCTCTCCATTCAGGCAAGTGAAAGAGGGTAGTGAAAGGGAGGCTGTATGGTTTCTCTTCTGGACTCTGCTTTGTGTGGTTGCAATGAAATGGCCCTTGAAAAGCTCTGGGCCAGATCACATTAACTCTACTAAACCTACAGTCTCTCCCACTCCCAGGCATCTCTCAGGAGTCCGATCTTGGAGCCTGCCTTTGGATCAGGTTACTGGAATGCAGGTGAAACTGACACAGTGGAGTTGAAGCAACCAGAGAAGAACTGGGATGATTAAGAGCATTCAAAGGAAGGAGTTTCGTGATGTCTAAATAAACCTTATCTTCTGGCTATGGTCTGTTCTCTTTGCTAACATCCACTCTTGAGAGTGAGACCACCAGTTCATTTGGAATGAATTCAACACCCTCTTTCAAACTAGTGAGCCCCCAGTAGTATTCTTCTGGAAGTAGGCCTTCAAAGACAGAGTGCATCTGTGCATGAAGAAGGGCCTTTACAGGTCAGTCGCACAGTCCTCTGTTGAGAGTCCTGTCTAAGCATCCCTGGCAGGTGGCTGTCACTTGGCATCTGCCTGCTCACTTCCAAGGTTGAGATGCCGGCTGCCCCGCCTAGCAGGGCCTGTGCTGCTGGACAGCTCTCACTGGGGGGAAAAAACCACGAAGTGCCTAGAACAGTGCCTGGCAAGGAGCCGAGCTCAGTAAGTGCGCCTCCAAGTGGGTCAAAAGCTGCCTCCTTACAACTTGAACCCATCAGTCCTGAGTGTGCCCCTGGAGCCCCAAAACGCAGAGACCCTTCGGATATTCGGGGCTGTCATCAGATTCCTTGGCCCTCTCCTTACAGATGCAGATCCCAGATCTCCATCACCAAGCTTGGCAGACCCCCCTCACCAGACCCCCCAAGTGCGCACTGATGGACCAATGACCGGCAGGGAGGCCGCAGTCGGGGATGTCCCCAACCTCGGTATCTGAAGCTGCAAGGGACAAAGGGCTTTCAGGAAGGCGTATCCCACCCTACGTGAACCAGGCTGCCTCCCTCCCCGCCGGCCCTGGGGACCCCCGCAGCGCCAGGTGACAGGCCCCCTGAGGATCCGGGGCTCTCAGGCAGCTGCGCGATGGGCCGAGCCAGGACAAGGGATCTCGAGGCTCAGAGTCTTGACCCGACTGATCGCGGGCTCGATCGCGGCTCAGCGGAGCTCGCTCGGCCGTGGCTTTACCTGTGCTTGGTTGACTACAGCAGCCCAGCTCGCCCCCGGTCGCGCTCCCGCAGCTCCGAGGCTGCCGCCGGCGGTCATGGAAATGCAGCCGGAACCCCTGGCCAGTGCAGCTCCCGCCGCTACCGGCCCCGCCCAAGCAACTGCCGCCACGCCCCTGACGACCGCTTCTGCCACGCCCCTAACCGCGGAAACTCGCCTGTTCATTGGGCAGCCCAGCGGCTGCTCTGCTAGCCCCGTGCTCTCATCGCACTCGGAGGGCAGCCCATTGGTCAGCGGACCTGCTCCTCAGAGCGGAGGCGGAGCCCTTAGCGAAGAACTCCGAGACAATTGGTTATTTTTGACGTCGTTAGCCCATGGGCCAAGGAACTATAGGATAAAGCCAGCGCGGAGGGGGCAGGGAAAAGAGAGGAGGGCTAGAAGATGGGTCTTGTTTGATGCTGATGGAGGCGGGGTGCAAACAGGGAGGCAATTGTGACCACAAGCCGGGCGGGGTAGAGTCAAGTGTTGTCTGGGTTTGGGAGGAGGAAGGCACGCAGGTAGTTCAGCTTCTGGGTCTGAAGGCTTCAGGCCGACCGATGGACTCACCTGTAGTCCAGGACACCAGGGCAAAATTTGGGGTCGTGTCCCACGAGAAAGGAGGCAGGTTAGTGAGTCATCAAGCCGCAAGGGGAGGAAAGGATGAGGAGGCAGCCCTCTCTGGCCTCTTCTAGCTAGGGAGATGTGATGGGGACATGCGGGGCAGTGTGGATCTCAGTTATTGTCCCACTGTTCTTTCTGTCCTTATGACGACCCTTGCCCAGTTAGAGGCAGCCTGGAAGAATGTGGCCTTTGGAATCATAACTAGAACTCTGTTGGCATGTACAGGTTACATGGTCTTGAGCAAGTCATTTTAACCTTTCTGCTTAGGTCCAGATTTTTTGCTTTGGCAACTGAGATGAACAGTAGTTGATGAGAAGATTTAATAACTCTCCACGCCCCCCACCCCCTGGGCTTTCTTGGTGGCTCAGTGGTAAAGAATTTGCCTGCCAACACAGGAGGTGCGGATTCGATCTCTGAGTCAGGAAGATCCCCTGGAGAAGGAAATGGCAACCCACTCCAGTATTCTTGCCTGGGATATCCATGGACAAAGGAACCTGGAGGACTACTGACCAGGGGTTGTAGAAGATTCTGACTTGAGTTAGTGACTAACTCAGGTAACAACAAAACACTAACAGTGCCTGGCACTGAGCAGGCAGGCATTCAGGCAAGACTAGTTCCCCAGTCACTGACACATCGGTCTATGGAATTAGGACCAGTTCTAACATTCTGAGTCTGAAACTGCTTTTGCATTGGCATGTGCTTTTACCAAGAATAGAACACTTGACTGACCTGAAAGGCAACTGCTTTAGGGCAGACAGGGCCACCCTACCAAAGCACCATAGGGCTGGAAGAAAGAGAGCACAGGATGAGATGGGAATGGCGATTTAGCCAGAGATGGGAAGTGGTATTTGTATCAGTGTTAAATTTTTTCCGACACATTTCAGGATTATGATAAGGAAAAATGGAGCTTTCTTTTTCCTATTCACCCATCCAAGCGTGCAACGGCTCATGTTTCATCATTTTGAAGGCTAATCAGCACTGGACCCAAAACCGGTGCATAAAATCTGTCAGGAACTCCTGAAGCCCCTTGCCTATTCTGAAGATGTGGAAATCCTAAAATGTGAACAGAAATAAACCTTCAAGCCTGAAGTTAGCCCCAGATCTTTGGGTCTGCCTTTGAGAGAACTCACACCCATGGTATTCTAGGTTGAAGGAAGAGAAAGAATTCTTCACTGATGCTCTATTTTTCATTCTGTTGTCATGTTACCTAAAAAAATTTTTTTAACCTCAACATTTATTTATTCCTCTATATTCTTTTCATTTTGGGAAAGAAAAACTCAAAGGATTATAGTGATGGATACCCCCCCCCATAGTTCTGACTCTTTATGTTAATTGTTTGTGCCTCCAGCAACCTAGATGTCCATCGACAGATGAATGGATAAAGAAGCTATGGTACATTTTACAATGGACTATTACTCAGCCATAAAAAGGGGCACATTAGAGTCAGTTCTAATGAAGTGGATGAATCTCACTAGAGGCTATAATAGGCTAGAGCCTATTATACAGAGTGAAGTAAGTCCAAAAGAGAAAAACAAATATCATATATTGACACATATATATGGAATCTAGAAAGATGGTACTGGTGAACTTATTTGCAGGTTAGCAATAGAGATGCAGACATAGAGAGCAGAGAACAGACTTGTAGTGGGGAGGAGAGGGCGGGATGAATGGAGAGAGAAGCATGGAAACATATACGCTATCATATGTAAAATAGATAGCCAGTGGGAATTTGCTGTCTGACACAGAGAGATCAAACCAGTGCTTTGTGACCACCTAGAGGGGTGGGAGGGGGTGGGAGGTTCAAGAGGAGGGGACATATGTATACCTGTGGCTGACCCATGTTGATGTATGGCAGAAACCAACACAGTATTGTAAAGCAATTATCCTCCAATTAAAAATAAATTTTTAAAAAGTTTGTGCTTGCAGGAAAAGAGCTTTAGATCTGTGGCCAGTTGGATATGTGTGTGTGTCCATGTGTATGTGCATATGTGTGTGTGTGTGCGTGCACACACACTTGAACAAAACGGTTCTGTTCCACAGTTTTCCAGTTGTGTGTTTATTTTTGTTTATTTATTTATTTTTTTTGTTGTTGTGGGTTTAATTGTACTGCTTGGTGGCCATACATATGTCTGCACGTGTGCTGGGGGAGCAGGTTTGCTCCTGCTGGTGTTTACTGAAGGAGACTGAGATGTCTCGTTAGGCTCTGAAAGGCACGAAGTGGCTCCCGAGATCCGGAAAGACTTTTCCAGCTTGATTCAGAGCCACAGACAGCAGCTGTTGGGAGTAGATTGCAGATAGACTTATCATTGTGCAAATGGATTTTTCCACACAGGTCAGGAACAAAGCTTCAGCCAAGAGTTCCAGAAAGGGATGTCCATCCAGTTCAGAAATTCTAAAGCATAATTGGGTCACCAAAGCTCCAAGGGAGGTACAGAATGAGCCCAGGCAGCGGAGAACAAGGGAAAGGACATGACAATCTTTTCCTTTGCAGCTCTGGCTGGTTTAAGTAATGATCCATTACCATTTGCAACACATAGGACTGTTTTCTTATTGGTCTCTGGTTTCTGCTTCCTCTCCTCAGCTTTGGCTCTTGCCATATTCTGTTGACTCAAATGATTTCCCTCTATAAAGTTTTTCTGTGGAAGGCCATTTAGGGGAAGCGCATGGACTCAGTTTTGCCTTTAAATTTAGTAGCCTGCTGGGATTGAGAATCTTGGGACGGCTTGGTTTGAGATAACTATTGGTTAGCACGTGGCTATGAGATGCATTTCTGAAAGCATGAGAGTGCCTTGGTATAAAGGGAATGAGGGAGAGGGTGTGCACCCACTCACATTCCGGAATGACTAAAGCTCCATCACTTTACTGAAGGAGCACTGACTCTAAACTCACCTGGGGTCTCAGCAGGATTTGTAACCAAGTCGCTGAGGTCTTCAGAGAGATATCAGGCAGCAGAGGTCAGAGTAGGTAGTGGGCTCTATTTATTCTCTTATAGCAAAGTCAGTGATTCACTCCGTCTGTTGTTTTCATTATCCTGTATCCTTAGTGAATGATTGAGAGCAGTGGGATTTGGCATCTGTTCCACTGGGACTTGAATCCTGGCTCCTCCTCTCCCAGGTTTGTGACCATGGGCAAGTTCTGCACCTCTGTGTGTCCATTTTTTTCCCCATAAAATTCAGATGATGGCATTTGTGCTTCCTTCATGGGGTGCTGTGACGAGCAAACAAGTTAATAGATGTAAAGTGCATCTAACAGTGCCTGCCACATATTTAGCTCTTAATAAATGTGTGCCTTATTTATTTATTAGCCCAGAGTCTTAACCACTGGACTGCTAGGGAAGTTCCTGCCATAGTTATTATAGGAACTCACTTAAGAACATTTTTCTAAGTGCTAACTCATTTTTCAAGTTCTGTCCCTCAAAAGTAGTGGTCACAGAATTCAGGATCCATGAAGTGATGGGACCAGATGCCATGATCTTAGTTCAACATTCAGAAAACTAAGATCATGGCATCTGGTCCCATCATTTCNTATTGCTTCTGTTTTATTTTTGTTGGTTTATTTTGGCCATCAAACATGTGTGATCCCAGCTCGCTGGCCAGGAATTGAACCCACATTCCCTGAGTAGGAAGGTCAAATCTTAGCTACTGGACCACAAGAGAAGTCCCAGATAGACTTTATTTTAAAAAATAATTTTGGGGACTTCTCTCGTGGTCCAGTGGCTAAGACTCTGAGCTCCCAATGCAGGGGACCCAAGTTCAATCTCTGGTCAGGGAACACGATCTCACATGCTGCAACTAAGACCTGGTGCAGCCAAATAAATAAAATTTTTTAAAAATTTTAAAAATTAAAAATAGTTTTCGATTCATAGCAAAATTGGACAGAAAGTACAAAAATTCTCATTTACCCATCACCCTAACACATGCAGGATTTTTTTTTTTTTCCTAGTTATATCTACCACCTGCCACATGGTAAGAGAAGTTTTTGCTTCAGACTATCCTTACCAGAGAAGGTTCAGAGGATTGAGTTAAGGGTGGGTTTTCATCTTTCTTTCCATTATGGTTTATCACAGGATATTTTTTTAAAGATTTATTTATTTACTTATTTTGGCTGTGGTGGGTCTTTGTTGCTACATGAAGTTTTTCTCTAGTTATGGCAAGCAGGAGCTACTCTTTGTTGTGGTGTGCAGGCTTCTCATTGCAGTGACTTCTCTTGTTTCAGAGCACAGGCTCTAGGCACACAGGCTTCAGTAGTTGCAGCTCACGGGCTCAGTAGTTGTTGCTCGAGGGCTCTAGCATGCTGGCTCAGTAGTTGTGTTGCATGGGCTTAGCTGCTCCACGGCATATGGGGTCTTCAAAGACTAGGGATTAAACCAGTGTCCCTTCCCTTGCAAGACAGATTCTTAACCACTAGACTTCCAGGGAGCCCTATCACAGGATATCTAATATAATTCTCCATGCTACACAATAGGACCTTATTATTTATTCATTCTATATATAATAGTTTATATCTGCTAATCACAAACTCCTAATCCAACCTTCTCCTACCTACCTCCCCCTTAGCAACCTCAAGTCTGTTCTCTGAGTCTGTTTCTGTTTTGTAAATAAGTTCATTTGTGGCATATCTTAGATTCCACATATAAATGATATGTATCTGTCTTTCTCATTCTGACCTACTTCACTTGGTATGATAATCTCCAGGTCCATTCATGTTGCTGGCATTATTTCATTCTTTTTATGGCTGAGTGATATTCCGTATATATGTGCCACATCTTCTTTATCCATTTATCTGTTGATGGATATTTAGGTTGTGTCCATGTCTTGGCTGTTGTGAACTATGTCTTGGCTATTGGGCTGCTATGAACATAGAGGTGCATCTATCTTTTCAGATTATAGTTTCGTTTGGATATATGCCCTGGTGACTTAGATGGTAAAGCATCTGCCTGCAATGCGGGAGACCTGGGTTCAATCCCTGGGTCAGGAAGATCCCTTGCAGAAGGATATGACAACCCACTCCAGTACTCTTGCCTGGAAAATTCCATGGGCGGAGAAGCCTGGTAGGCTACAGTCCATGGGGTTGCAAAGAGTCGGACATAACTGAGTGACTTCACTTTCTTTCACTTTGGATATGTGCCCAGGAGTGTGATTGCCAGATCATTGTTGTTGCTGCTGTTTAGTCGCTAAGTTGTGTCCAACTGTTGTGATCCCATGGACTGTAGCCCCACCAGGCTCCTCTGTCCATGGGGTTCTCCAGGCAAGAATACTGGAGTGGGTTGCCATTTCCTTCTCGAGGGGATCTTCCTGACCCAGGGATGGAACCTGTGTCTTCTGCATTGCCAGGCGGATTCTTTACTGCTAATCTACCAGGCAAGCCCTTGCTGGATCATATGGTAGTTCTATCTTTAGTTTTTTGAGGAACTTTGATACTGCTTTCCATAGTGGTTACACCAGTTTACATCCCTACCCTGAGTTGATATTTGATACTAGACCTCATCAGCATAATCCCTCTGAGGGAAAGGTGAAAGCTTGTGGCTGCAGCCTGGGTGTTCATGAGATTCCCCTCAAGGCTGGAGGTAGCTCAGGTTCTGAGGACTCCAACACTGCCACTTTGTTGTCATACACAGTGCTGCCTGTGTGTAAAGTCTGGGCAAAGTGTTCAGAATGCCCCAGGGTCAGGCCTCCTGGCTAGCTTCTGATTGATAACACAGATGAAGTTTGTTTAGAAAACCTAAGTTCCCACACACAATAGTTCCATGAGGACAAACTATGGTGAAATTCAACGGTTTAGCCTCTTCTGTTATCAGTAAAACTTCCTGCTGGCTGGTTGAACAAGAACCCTGTCTGTGACTTGGGCTGCTTCCTTAAACTTACTTGTGAAGTTGTCTATGGTCAAATCACTGGGTGGTTTTATGTCCAGGACAGTTTGGTTTTATGCCTGCTGCCCCAGTAGAATTTTAACAGTGTTGTTATCCCCCAAATCTTGGCATTCTCTGCCCACTGAAGCCAAATTAAAAAATTTCAGAGACGGAGTTTGGAGGAAAAAGAAATGTGGCCTTAATTCTCAGCCAGTGGAGAGGAGTATGCAGCAGGCTAGGG